ACAATCAGCCCCCCCCCCCGCCCCCCGCCCTCCTCGACTGACATACATCTGCGGCACCCCTTGCCCGATTCTTTCCTTGACTGTTGTCGACAAATGCAATGACCGAGCGTGCAGGCTAGCGCGCTCTGAGCTGGCGTGTGTTCATCTCCGAACGCGCATGTGCGGCGCGAGGGTTCTGTCAGGCGTATTCCACAAGTGGGCGGCGAGGAGAGCGGCGGGAGCTTTCTGGAGACTGAAAGTGAGACCTTGTTGTGCAGAATGGCCATTGACCGAATGCTTTGGTTTTGGACAGGGTGGAGTTTGATAGTACCCACCGGAGTGTTAACAGTTGCGGTGGGCAAGAGCAGCAACCTGTGAAAGTGCTGCGGGAGAAGAGGTACATAATCCTCGCCAATCGCAGCCCCTAAGAAGCGGTAGACCTTGTAGGCGTTCGCAAGCGCGGTGGTGGTTTTACGGTGCTTTCCTCTTGCACCCATCGATGACCAAAGGTGGATGTCTTCCAGCGTCCAGCTGTTGCCTGAATGACGTGCGATGTTCGTGCGTCCTCGTTGTTATGATTGCCTTTCGCTTATTTGCGGCACGCCGGTTTTGTTGTTGGTCGCCTTCCCGCCGCATCGCCCCACCCATAGCCCCAAGCGGCCCGCTATTCTACTCTATATTCGGCATTGCCTGACCCGTGCGGTACCGCGCTCTGTTTTCTTTTCCACCCCAATTTGTTCGTGGCCGCGGTGTTTCATGTTTCCCCGCGGCACAGACGACGTCGACGACTGGAAATTCTTCCGCCATTGCTGGAAGCGTCGTGTCATCCTGCGCTCGCTGTGGAGCAGCTGGCACCGGCCGCCAGGGCAGCCTTGATGGCGACGACAGGCCAACATCGGCCGTACTCACGATCGAGGCCCCGATCCCAAGCAGTCAAGGTGGAGGCGGAGGCGGAGGCGGTAGCGGTAGCGGCAGCGGCTGGACGTCCCCGCGTAGCGGTTACAACCAAAGCGGAGAAGGGGAACGAGAAAGGCCCCGATCAGCTGGAAGCGACAAGTGCGGTCCGGAAACGACGGCTCCGGCCGCTAGACACCGACAGAACCGCGATCGTAGCGGCACCGGTGCCGGCGACGGCTTCCTCCGGATTCGGGCGACAGCCAACGCGCCGCTTCCATCTCCGGACGAAGACAGCCCCGGTGTTTTCGACTTCGGAGGCGGGCACGGAGGCGCGAGGGGGTGTCAGCACCGCCGACGCAGCCGTGCACGTGGGGGGAATGCGAACGGGAGGTTATCTCCCCCACCACCGTCACCGACCTCGTCGCGGGCTCGCAGCATGACGAGCCCTCCCGGAGGAAGCTTCAGCATCGCCTGGTCGAACGGCGGTACCGATGCCGTCACACCGGCGAATTCCACCTCGGTAGATGTGGCCGGCGGCAGCGGGCTCATCGCTCCAGGAGTCGTCGGGGTTGACAAGGGTGACACCGAGCGGAGCTTTTTCAGCACCGCTTCCAGCGAGCCGCGGTATCACTGCCTCCGATCCGGGTTGTCTAGCCCGGCATGGAGCAACGCCGGGAGTTGGACCGGCAGCGCGGACGGGGTGATGCCAGTGGACATGTCTGATGCGTCGGGGGAGGAGGAGGAGGAGGAAGGCGCCGCCACAGCGGTACCGGCGGCGAAACCTGTCTGTAGCGATGGCGGCGGGGGTAAATCCGGGGGCCAGGGCGGCAGCGAGGATGGCGGCCGAGGGGGAAGAGAAGTTCATGGGGACGGGAGTGAAGAAGTAGGGTTGGAGTTCGGGTTGGAGGTTTCGGTTGGTGGTGGCGATTCTTGGTGGGCTCTGAGTGACGAAGAAGCGGAGGTGTAAGCATTTCATTTCTGTAAATAGGATGCATTGGTGTACACCCATCGGCGGTTGAAAAGGGACGGTGGTGTGCATGGGCGGCAGGGTTGAACCGTTTCGTGATGAGGAAGGTGGTAGTGGCCGGCGTAACAATTCCGCGAGGTTTTGTGACGGGAGCCGTTGTGCCACGTACCAATGGCTGCGCATCCATCACCGGTCGCCCCGGTGGTCTAGTTGGTAACCTCCACACCTTCTAGAGGTCAGGTCAGGGGTTCGGATCCCGGCGTAAGCGAGCTTTTCTTGCAAAGTGAGTATTTCTCTCGCTTCCGCTCCTGGCGTAGTGGATAGCGCTAGTTCGTGTGTACACAGAGGGAAGCGAGTGCTGAACTCTTCTCGCATTGAAAATCGAAGGCAAAGTACCGCAGGAGGGGAGGGTAGAGAGGGGCTCTTCGGTGTGACCACGGGTAGGAGTAAACGGCACTAATAGCAGTGCTGTGAGCTCTGATTTTTTCGTGGAGAAGGTTGTAATGGACGGCGTAACAATTCCGTGAGGTTTGTGACGGGAGCGGTTGTACCATGTACCAATGGCGGCGCATCCACCACACCATACGATAATTTGACTGACAACAATTACGTGGCGGCCACAGCGGTAGTGTGCTTGGCTTCCGGTAAGGTTCAGGGAAGCGGCATCCGCTGAAGTATCGGNATTTGACTGACAACAATTACGTGGCGGCCACAGCGGTAGTGTGCTTGGCTTCCGGTAAGGTTCAGGGAAGCGGCATCCGCTGAAGTATCGGTGCCAGCTACAGCAGAGGGGGGACCGTGAGGTCGACCCCGGTGGATGCAATGTTATGCGAGGGTGTAGCCTACTGTTTTTTTCTACAGGCCGGTGTTGTTGGAGGTCTTCGCGCACGGGGCGATGGTGATTGTCGTTGGGATTCCAAGTACGGGACGGTAGGCCTCGGCGACTCTCATTGAAGACCGACAGCAGTGGACCACAGCCGGCATGCAAGTGTCGAGTAGTCATGCACTGTCGCTGTCGACAAATTGTGGAAGACGAAACGTGTTTTTGGGCGTTTCCGCTGTAGATCACGAAGGAGCACGCCAGCTGTGGAAATGCCTGCCCTTCTCGAAATATATTCCCCCGTTATTGAAATCGATATTTCATGATCTGAGTGACTTCGGTGCCTACTAGGTGCCCGTTCTCCGAAACAGATTAATTCGTGTACTGTAGCGACTGCGTTTTGTCGCACGACCCTCAGGCGTGAGCAGCTCGCTGTGTCGCTTGCGGCGCCTCGTCAGCGCTGCAAGCCTAGACAGTGCTGCTCCCACACGGCGCCCTTTGAGTCGAACCCTTGTGCGATTCATTAGATGGACGCAATAGCGCTTTCACGCAGAGGCCGAAACAGTTATGTTTCTCAGTTAGATGTGGAGGTGCAGCCGCTGGCGTTAAACGAACATGTGCACAGTACAAGACTGCCGAATTATTGAACCTTCAAACTGTTCAGTTGCAAATCCTGCGCGACACTACTCTCCTTGCGGCAGATGGATCCGGGTACACCGTAAAGTTTTTACTTTACACTATGCACACGTAGTCTCAGTTTCCGTGCAATATTGTCGCTGGGAGTTTATTCTCCTTACGGCCGTACTATATTCTAGACGGCTCTTTGGTAGCTCGGCGTCTCATCACCATGTAGTGCAAGCCCTTGCCCGACCGACCAGATCCATCGGAGGAAAACTCGTTTTACACTATTAGGAACATAGTATTCAGGTCCTTGGCAGTTGGTAGAGCAATATAAGGTCAA